TTAAGTTGACAGCTCAGACTGACAAATATTCTTTATCCTTAGCAGCTGGGCTCATTAGACCATCCTTTCTAGAATTAGAGAGCGGTGAGAAGGAGGATATGCAGTATATGTGTGTTTCCATAGATAGCTTTTTAGCATGAGTGGTTGTGTGGTATATATTTTTATGTTAACATAAAAATCAGTAATATAAGCAGTCAGGACTGGCTTTAACTGCAGCGGGTAAACTAGTACAGCTAGTTCATAGGGGGAGATCCTGTGAATGAGCTCTCATTTTTTTTTCCCTTATTTTTTTTTAGTTTAGATGGAAAAACTTTTAAAATCGTAATATAGGAAAGGATTTTGCACTTTCGCCAGTTGATGTTTTCACAAAATACCTTACTAGAAAACAATAAAATCTGGGAACAGATACAACTATGCTTTTCCCAATCTACGATCTCAAATGCAATTTTTAAAATTCATGATAGAGTGCATTCAAATGCATTTATGAAAGAGACACACACCCTCCATATGGTCTAGTCACAGTGCAATCCCTTTCCTCCAGGCCTCCAGCTCATCAAATCTTGGTCACTTGTACATGTGCCTCGTATGTTTCAGGCTGACCAGGCCAGGGATTCAAATCATAGTTGCCATGTGAGATCTGGCCTCTCTTGAGCAGCACATTACTGTCACAGCATGGAACAGGCTCTTGGATGCAACTTTCAAAACATGACTAGATCCTATGTAAATGTATTGGTGGAGTGGAGTATTAGGACACCACATTTTGTTAATTACCACCTGTGAAATTTTCAAACAAGGTGAGTGCCTTAGCAGTGCATACTGTGAGTACAGGCTATACTGCTGCATCCAGCCTTCTGACTCGAGCCATCTCCAAGAATTCAGTGAAGTCGTCCAGAGTCATAACTGCCAAGCCAAGCAGAAACTCACCTGCACTGGAGTCCAGGATTTTGTGTAGCAATAAGCATTTTTAATTAAAAGTTTCCCAGTTCCTAAATTTGGAACCGAATCTGTAAACACGTGGCAGATTGAGCAAGCACATCCCGGCATCACGGGAGCTGTGGGGGAAATGCAGCTTTTTAAAAACTGGGTGGTTAAGCTGAGGAGATCCAGCTGTGTTTTACTTAACATTTTACTAATCAAAGCTCTTTTACTTCTTTTTTCCTTATCACCGTTATCTGCTCTTGTGTGTGTTGGCTACTTATCCTTCAGTCCTTTATTTTTGTCTTTTTAGACTGATTTTAACTAGAGATGAGGGTCAAAGCAAATAATATTCATTTGCTGTGGTGAGTAATAGAAAGCCTCTCCTGCCTGTAGTTTATCTCTTAAATAGGTCAGAAGCAGCAGGTAATCTTCATCAGCAAAGTAAGGCGATTTTTAACTCTTCCGTATTACGCATTACATTGCCAGAGATCTTAGAGTTTACACAGAAATGAAGATTTCTACTGACCTTAAAGCAAATCTGTAAAGAATATGGTGCTCCTTAATTAAAAGTAAAATAGCCCCTGGGAAGCAGTTTCCCAATTAAATCAAGAAATGGTCATATGGGAGCCCTGAATGATTCTTACCTGGTATTTAGGATGATGGGGAGGAAGGGGTT